AGCCAGTCGTAGGCTCCCTGCTTGTTGGGATTCAAAGATTGTCGGAGGGGGATCAGGCGGACGTAGACATCAGAGTAGTAGTACTTTTTGAGGAGCGCAATCAGCGGGCCATGGTCTGCGGGGAACGGCTGCTCCTCGCCCAGCACAACAACAACAACAAATACTACACAAAGTGGGACAAGCAGCGTTGCTGTCTTGCTCGAGATCCGGGTCACGAGTCTACGAACTGAAGAGGTATATTGGTGTTCAGCGTCGTAACCAAAGACAATAAGGGACATGTCTACCTTGTTGTAGAAACCGAAGGTGCCGGGCGACCTCCAACTTTCTGGTCTGCTGCCACAGGGCATACAGGTTTATCCGCTTCAGTCTGTCAATGTTGTCGTCGCTCCAACAAACATGAAAAGCGTAACGTTGTGAATCGCCAACGATGTAGGCTCTTGCGACAGAGGCACACGCAACATGCACAGGCCACGGCAATCCCGACATAGCGGCATCGCGCTTCATGTTGTTGCACCGAAGCTAAAGTCACAAAATAGGCACATGTGCTCAGAGCCTTAATGAATAAAGAAAACTGCATTGCAAACATGGCACGGCAATCGGACTGGCAACCCGCAAGGCAAGGACTTTCAGCTATCCGGTGCAGTTCGAACAAAGTGGACGGGATGCAAAGTATGTATTGATGTAACAGGTGAAAGATCAGAAAGTCGTCGATCTATTCAAAAAATGTCATCTTGGGCGCTTTGCCAATAAGAGAATGAACGCGGTAGGTCAGAGTCAAGCGAGCCTGGTAAATGGTGTCTCGAGACGAAGTTGAAGATGTACTCGTAACGGATATTGCAAGTGACTCGGTCCGGTGGTATCAGCACGTCTATGCGAAAGATTTGAGGTGTCCATGTCAATCCTGCATCCGACACCGTGTGTTTCGTCATGGCATCAGAGGAATATATCTGTCACTGACGCATAGGGTAGTACAATAACAGTGCAGCATGCAAGTACGAGTAGCATGCTGAAGTCGGAGCCATGCAGCTCAGCAAGCAACGACGGAACATGAACATGCAAACGTCAGCGCAAACCTCCAACATGACACAAGGACATCCACTCCACAAATCTCCCAGTGTCGTTTTCAGACTGGCAGCGTGAGCATTCTTGCAATCAGCACCGCAAGTTATAGCTACTACCACCAGGGGACAAGGATCGGCTCGGGCAACGCGATCTTGATCTTTCTCAAGTTACCGTTACCCAAGGTCGAATGCTTCTGCAAACTAGTCGATCATGAATGCTTTCTGCCCCACGTGCTGGGTATGTCCCGGCATGGGGTCGTACTAAATGAAGTGTACCCGACGAAGAATGATGTCCACCAATGCCAGCAGGGGGGGGAGCAGGGAAGGGGGAGGGGGAGGAAGGGGGGATCGTTGGTGTGACTGGTCCCGGTGTCGTGCGCGGGTTTCTACCGCACCTGAATCTGCATGTCCAGCTGAATGCCTCGCGCATGCTAGGATACGACAAACCAGGAAATGCCACGAAAAGTCTGTGTCTCTCTCTCCCGAAGCCTTGCTGCACGACGCGCTTGGCCAAGACATTGGCCAAGTCCAACTCAACAGATCAAGGCAGCATTGGACGTTTCCACAAAAAACACAACAAGATAAAGCTGCCGGATCTGGGAAACGGGCGCTTTCAACCTCCTGGACTGAGCGAATGTTGGCAAGATGACACAGTGCAGCTATGTGAAGCATACACGTAACCCCTGTGCTTGGGTGGCTAGCGCAAGAGGCCAGTATTTGGTCTACAGTTATACACAGCTACACATGACGAAAGCGTTGAGTGGACTTATCTCTTGTGCGAGCTACTTCGATGTTTATCATCAAACCTTTTGAAGTTGTCCAACATGCTTGCATCCGAAGCAAAATTCAAGCCACCCTCCGCTACATGTCCTTACTTGCTTCCACCATCTGCCCGTCGCAGAATGTCAGTTTCACAAGCGAACGCGCATCGAAGACAACTTTGCCAACACACGCGTCTGCTCACGGTCCTCCTCGTCCTCACTCGGATCTGCGAGGCTGAAGACGTCGTCCTGGCCAAGAATCGCAGTTTAAAATCCTGCCTAGTTCAGTGCGACAGAGGCTAGGAGCTAGACATGGCCTCTACGCTGTCTTCATCCGACTCATAAAACGTAACCTCAAACAACGTGCTGTCTGGACCATAAGAAGCATCTCTGCAGTGCCACAGGGCTCTATCTGCTGCGGAGCTGCGTCTTCGGTCGCAACATTGACATCTTCTGCCAAGGCGCCCTGGGCAAAGACTTTCACTGAAACGCTCTGGAACTGCCACTCGTCACACACCTGGATCAGGTCGTTGACAAAGTTGTTCGCGCACTCCTCCTCATAAGTACAATCTCTCAAGCGGTTCAAGCGCAGAGGCCGAACTGTCCTCGGCAGTACTCCGTAACTTCGCGCCAGTGGCCTTCCAACAAGAAGCCATGTCAATGTGCTCATTGGGTTTTTCTGAGCAGACATCCCCACAAACAGTGTGCAACATCTTATTGCCTGAAGCTGCCGTTGAAAAAACTGGCACCCAAGACACCCTCGAGAGGAAGAGTTTGTTGCTGATGGCATACCCTTGTTTTGCACTCTTGCCATCACTGCAATTAGCTCTCACTGGGTATGCCCCACGTGTAAACGCTTTTCCACAAGAGCGCGGCAGGCACGATTGAGAATTGAACTGCATGACAGTACGTGGTGGTGGTGGTGGTGGTGGTGGCGGTGGCGGCTGTCGGAAACCAGTAGCAGTACTCGTAGCAGCAGTACTAGTAGAAGAGAAGGAGCAGGAATAGCAGTAGTGGTGGAGTGGCAGAGGCAGCGGCAGTGGTAGAAGCAGTAGCAGTAGCAGTAGCAGTAGTAGTAGTAGTAGTAGTAGTAGCAGCAGCAGCAGCAGGAGTAGTAGCAGAAGCGATGGTGGTAGTGGTAGTGGTGGCGGTAGTGGTGAGGAGGCAGAGGGGGA